GATACACAAAGTAGGCACCTGCAAAATGTTTTACTATTAATGTTTATTTGCACCGGCATTATGTGGTCGCACCCAGCTAATCTACAACAAATCTACAAGGTCAACATTGTCAGACCAAACACGTGTGACTATCCAAGAGCACTGCCTGGCCGTGGTTCCTGTTTCTCTAGTTTTTAGGACTCATCGTAATCAGTTTTTTTTATTTTTTATGCTTTATGTCAAGATTTTCTTACCATAAAAAATTGCGAGGGCAAGGCCTAGATATAGAAGGGCTAGGGCTGGGACTAGGAGCGTCACTGGTAGGGCCAGAGTTTGAGAAGCTATCCAACGTGAACTTTGACGTAAGCTTATAGGTAGGGCAGGGGATACGTATATCCGTGTGCAGTTCTTCTGCTTGTGCCTGGCGCCCGAATGGAACGGCTTAATAGCCGAACTTATTGTCGTAACGATGGCGTCTTGCAACCCAACGGTGCCCGCAGCCAGGCATAGCGAAATATCACAATGTCTTAGGCTGTCGGTCGGGATACATCCAAGTACTCACCCTACTACAAAATATGTGCGACTGGAATTTCGAATGACATCTTAAAATTACCCCCCTATTGCACCTGGACGCTACGAGCCCAACATAGACTGTGTTGAAGTAATCACTCCAGTAGCAGCAAACTACGTAGAGCAGAAGAAGCACCGTCTTGGGGGTAGGAAGGAGCCCATATGGTTGGCTCAAGTATAACTGCCGTAAGACTGAAGCAGTCTCGCGCCGAATCCTCGTGGTACGCAGTTCTTACGACTAAACATTGAATTTTGAAAAGTGAAGCAATCTGAACTACCCCGGAACCACGCTGTGGCCAGATCCACAGCGCAGGTATGCTGTCATCATCCTAACTGGTGATCCTTAAGGGTTTTTTCATCGGACCTGGAGGATGTGAGGATAGTTTTGCCCACACCTCTACAGCATGGGAGCGCTATAGACTGCGCAAATTTATAGACAAACAAGGTGCTACCCTTCGAATAAGGCCTGCAGATTCCAGTTCAGCGGAGTTGTGGTGGATTAAATGCTATACTACAGGCCATTTAAGGTAGAATAATGAAGTAGTAGGCACCTTCGTCTAACGATAATACGACAACAATATCCCTCATTAAAGTCACTCAGTTTCCGGATTTCCAGTTCGGTTTTTGGCTCACATTCACCTTACAAGGTAAATTTATTTCGGTGATGCAAACTGTCATGTGTGTTGGCAGTATACCGTACGACTTTGAATCCTTTCTGAAAAGATAGATGCGCACGCACGGTCTCTATTAGTTTGAAATTTCCAGATACCTCCGATCAATCTCAGTTAGGCAGCATCCTTTCACGTGCTGACCTCAGAATAAACCATTCCTTCCAGCTTTACAGTGCCCCTACTGAATCAAAGGAGGGCTGCAACGACAGTTTATCCCTGGATGGGCAAATTCTGCGAGGTGACATGGAAATCTCCAGCTGGAACGCCACTAAGGTCAAGGAATGGATGAACGATCACAAGATCAACTGGTTCGTGAAGCAACTAGAACCTTTCTATTTTCCACATTTAATAACAAAAACAAGAATAATTTTTTTATATATTAAGCAGCCAGAAGGCACGATCGAAAAAAAGTTGTTATTACAGTAATAAATCACAATTTGCTCATTAGTGCTTTATATGAGCGGTCACATATATAGCAGAATGTAAACGCATTCTGATAAGCAGAACATTTTCATCCACCGGCTATTTAGTCTTTTACAATTATAGTTTAAAATAATGAAACAAAAGTAAACTAAAAACGAAGCAGTGAAAAAAAATGTTGAGCGGTGATTCACACACAAGTCGCCTTTGCCCGGTAGATTTCACTCCCTCATTACTTCCTGCCAACTAGCGACCCAATTCTCCATTTTCTGCCCTTACTTTCCATCTGTAGGGAAAACACTGAGAATTTAAATGGCCAAGACCTCTGCTTCTTGAAACGGCTTCGCAATGAGGCACCAGAATTTTTCTACAAAATGGCCAGTGAGAAATGGCGAATCACTTCTGTTTCTGCTTTGCGCAAGCTCACAAACTCACTTGAAAGTCTTTGAGTTTATTCGGTCCGCATCAGTTGTCCCTTGATGTGTTACAGCTGTCCTACCTGACAAAGGATTTGTCTTCATTTGCACTTTTTAAAACCTCAACAACTTACTCATTGTGGTTTCAAAACCGGCAGTGGCGTAAAGCCCGGTAAAGCTTTGCTCTATGTTATGTATGCATATTATTAAGTTTTCACATTAAAATAAAATATCTTCAGCGGATTTTCGTGTCAAAAGTGCAGTCAAACTGGTGGAAAATTTACGAGATATCCTCTTCAAGGGAAGTCAAGTGTGCACTTAAATCGAGATTATGCCCTCTTTGAGTCCCCCGAAAGTTTGACTACGCAAAAGTCAGAATTTAGATACAGCTTGATGCCCAAGAACTGCCAATGCAATAGGAAAAAAGGGACCATCAAAATAGTCATGCTCCTGATGTATGTTTAGTAAATAGCACAGCCGAGGAATTAAGTAGATGAAGGGCTGAAGGATAAGACATGGGAATAAGGAACACATTTATTAAGTGCAGTGAGTGAGCGGGACGCGAGACCTGCGATCAACAGCTCAACGAATAGTGTTGTACTCAGTCACAAAATGCTTCCCAACGAACAAAATTCATCTATGATGATAGGTAACTTTAGCCTCGTTAAAAACGCACTCGGAGATTAGGAATAATATAACATACACGAGATGACTACGCGCTGCTATTATAATTAGAGCAAAGCCAAACGAATTTGCTTACAAAACTTTTCATCTTGGAGCCATCAGAGCGCAAGTTTTCACTGCCTTTATATATATATATATATATATATATATATATATTAACATTTAAAGAGTTAAAGGCACGAAATGCCGTTGAAGACCCTATAAGTGTAGAGTAAGTATTGTATATTTACAGCCAATATAAAATTGTTGATATTTAAAACGTTTGGAAGAAAAGCACAAAACAAATGCAAATGATTGTCGCAGTTCAGTGCTAAAAAATGCGATAGGATTTTAGGGCCAGAAATATTCTTTCAAGGCTGGCTGTACGTAGTGGTATTGTGAGAGTCGTCCTTTGTCAAGTATGATAGATTGAAGGCGCATTTTAGAATCCAAAATGGCATCGGTTGTAACAGTCCCGCTTGGTAGCGAGTTCCAAGGTCGAACCATTCGTTCTCCGGGAAAACAATTTCTGAGGTCCAATCGAGTTCGTTCGCTTGTGACTTTGTAAAGATGACCGCGCAGGTCAGTTGTGTAGGTAAACTTGAATAAATCCTTCGGTCTTGAGGAGGAACCACAGTGTCGGTTAATACAAGAAGTACAGATTGGGCTACAATGTAAGGCAGGGGAGATAATAATAACTTTTTCATGCTGTCCTAGTACGATAAATCCTTCAGAGTGTCCACCAACTAAGTAATGAGTTTCGGCTGCAGGTGAAACCCATAATTATAAAATACATCATCATTCAGTTCAGTTTTATACAGGAAAAGATGGGCAAACGCCTTTGAGCTCCCCACTGGTGACATAGAGGCTAAGAAATGCATCGATACAGCAGATAAATGAAAAATAAGAGAGTTTGTTTACCCAAGTGCAAGTATAAAGCGAGCCCCCGTGGGTTGGTTGAAAAGAGTAAACAGAAACTACTACTCACTTATTAGGAGTACTATATATACATGTGTAACTATTAGTTCGGACATACTACTTCGGCTTATTAGTAATGCCAAGTGACGCGTGCCAGTAGGTAGAATAAAAAGGAAAAACAACAGACAGCAAAAAAGGCCCTTGAGAATTTTACGGATTTAAAGGAGAAAAAATTTGTTGCCCCTGGGAGGAGAAATGGGAGATAGGACTGTCCTGCTAGAGACTCACATGCCGGCAGTACTAAAGCATACAATTAAAACTGCTCTCTATCTTCGGTGGCAGTCTTAATGGATTCGATAATTGCATTTCGGTCAATACCCTAATTAGCATGATTTTACCATTCTTGTCAAATCTGCTTGTGACGATTTCTCGTAAATTTGGCTCACTGTCACTGTGATTGCTGGTCATATGTATTATCCCCAAATGACTAGTAATTTCGTCCAGACAAACCTGCAGTACATAATATGAAGGTGGAAGGTTATTGCGTTCGCTAATTGACGAAGAGCAGGAAAACCAGGATTCAAGCATCTCACGATCACGTGCTTTTCACATCTCGTTAGAATTTCGGCCTCATCAAACTGGTCTAGTCAACTCAGGCGAGAGCCGGGGGCTAACGTCATTAATTCAATTTTTTTCCGCGTGCTCGGTCATTCACATTCGGAGTGGTGACCAAGGTATTCCGATGAGGTTGCTTTGAGGTTGCACCATATCCGGTAAAAGGCTCTTAACGTTTTATACCATGGCAGAGTTATTTGGGCTCAGGAACTGGCGTCTGATGTCTACCATCGGTCAGTGTACAACTAAAAGTCAGGGTGGTGACTGGAGGCTACCAAGGGTTTACGGGAGGTTTTCACGTACGGAAGTGCTCGCCAAAATTCGAGACATCTTGATTTTTGTCTCTCGTCGCATTTACGTATACAAGACCTGAAGAAGTTGCGTGGGTTAACATTAACTCTGAACAACCGCCGAATATAATGTAGTCAGTTTATTTGGTGAGGGTAATAGGCAATGCTTTTGAAAACCCTATTGGTGTCCTGCCGGGCCTTCATATAAATCTGTACGGACACTGTAAAAACTGTCACTGTCTAAATAGTATTCGCAAACTGTCAGTATCATCGTTTTGGCAAATCACACGTGTCTAGAGTTCGTGCGATATTAGTTCGAGTTCATACTGTGAAGGGGCAACAAGGGGACACATAAAATTGTCCAAGCGTTCTTTAAAGAGCTGTATGGTCGTCGCCTCCACGAGGATTGTGGGAGGTTATTCCATTTTTCTGTGGCCCGTTGCACGAAGAATTCAGATCGGTAATTTAAATACGAGATTTTAGTGCATATTTTCATTGTGTGTCCAAGGAATTGAGGCGAGAGGTGCCACTGAAACATGTACTCAAAGCGCAGTCCTTTCTCAAGGGTGCGTATTATCCTGTAAACTAGGATTAAATCCCCTCTTTGCCGCCTGTAAAACATGTCAAGTCGTTTGCAAGCTATTGCCACCACGCTTGGATGCGATATTTTAGACGCGGCTGAACAAAGGTGCCTTACACTTTGCCAAAGAGATGACTGTCGAAAGCTACAAGCGCCCTTTTGATAGCATCAGCATTCTCGTGGCTTTGTTCGCAGCCTTAGCACATTTTAATGGTGGTCTTAGTTTGCTCTGTACCCAAATGCCGAGGTCTTTCTGTGAATATTCTACGGAACTTTTAGTGTTGTTCAGGTAATGTGTCCTTATGATGTCAGTTATGTGATAGTACTTTAGGAGCAGTTAGATGAAGGCATAATTTTGCACATTGAAATCTAGGAACCATCTGTCGGAGCACATCTGCAGTCTGTGAATATTATTTTGCAGAGCTTCTTGGTCACTCGGGCGCTTAATGACCTGTCACGGCTTAACGTTGTCCGCAAACATAATCTTACCGCATCTCACTTCTCACGGCTCTCATTAACGTAGAGGATGCATTGTAAAGGACGATGAACGGGGCCTTAAGCAACAACACTAACTACATTAACCCATGTCTGGATTCAAACCCGTTGTTTTTGACCGATTAAAAATATTCTGATCCAGTTCAAAATGCTCCCCTGATATCAAGGACGCTCAGTTTATGTACGAGGCGTTGGTGTGGCACGATGTCAAAGGCTTTGCGGAAATCGATATACACTACGTTTACGTCGAAGCCCTTTTTTAAACCACTTTTGAGGACCTCAAGTGGGAAAAAAACTTCGAAAGGCAGGAGCGCTCTCGCCGAAAGTTATGGTGAAAACTCTGTAAGACGACATTTTCATCGAAAAGTCTGAGTATATCCTGCTTTACAAGGACTTCCATTTTTTTGCACGAAAAGCAAGTCAAGCATAAAGGCCTAAAGCTGTTTGCTGTCATCTTGTTACCTTATTTATATCGCTCGTGAGAACCCCGAACCTGTCGTGTAGTCCGGCGTAATCTGCTTGTACCTGCTGATCTCCAAACCCCTGCAAAGAGCCTGCATGCTCGCAGGAACTCCCAAGTGTCCTACAGAATCACCACGTGAAGCTGACAAATTTGGCAAGCTCATCTCACCTTGTTATGCTTCTTACTCAGCTAATGACACAGTTTTGCATATAACAATGTCAGTTGATTATTGAGCAGATTGCTCCCCTCTTACACAGAAGACCTCTCCTGAA